GGTCCCCCTGGAATCGAGCCCCCTTCCTGTCCTCTTTGGCCCTCGAATTGAATGAGCAGCTTAACCCAACGTGGGGAAAGGAGAGGGGGGCCGAAGATCTAAACATGCTACAGAATTATGTCTCCCCCCCCCCCCAAAATAATAATAATACAGGAGATGTAGGAGGAGGAGGAGGAGAGAGAGAGAGGGAGGAGTCAAGAGAGAAAGCAGCCTGGAATCGTTACGTTCCAGTCTGGATTCTTCACCCCTGACATTAGTTGAGTTGAGTTGAGTTTGTCATTGCACCTCGTACAACGAAATCAAACACTATCTTCACTGCACATCATGACCACGGAAGTAAACACAAACACACATCCTTCACACTCCACACATTGAATTGAAAACCCCCGACGCCACACCAACACTGCACTATACAGCAGAATAACATGACATGACTGAGGTCTTTTATGACCGTTACAACTGAACGCCGTAATGGGCAGGCTTGTCATTAGAGGGCTACTTGTGAAGTGACAGGAGGTTAGCAAGAACGGGGCTACAAGAACCGCTGCGACCCCTACAAACCTTGAAGAGAGGGAAACCGGTCAGGCATGAAGTCATCCTTCTCCTTGTCTTGCTTTTCTTTTTTTCTAAATGGAATTGGAGCTGGGAAGTAAGCAAGTCATGTTTTAATTGGTACCAGATCCCCTTTTTACAGGAAGGGAGGGAAGGAGGGAGGGAGGGAAGGAGGGAGGGAAGGAAGGGAAGAAATAAAAATATATAGATACAGATAAGAAGGAAGGAGGGAGGGAAGGAAGGAGGGAAGGAAGGAAGGGAAGAAATAAAAAGATATAGATAGATACAGATAGGAAGGAGGGAAGGAAGGAAGGAAGGAAGGAAAAAGATTAGATAGATAGATAGATAGATAGATAGATAGATAGATAGATAGATAGATAGATAGATAGATAGATAGATATGGATAGGAAGGAAGGAAGGAAGGAGAGAGGGAGGGAGGGAAGGAAAGAAAAAGATATAGATAGATATAGATAGATATAGATAGGAAGGAAGGAAGGAAGGAAGGAAGGAATCCTAAAAACTCATTTGAACCTTTTTACATTAAGCATTTGATTCTTTTCCAGAAAAAAAAAAACATTGGGGGAAAAGACCTCTAAGTGAAGAAGGTCTGGGCTCCTGCGTTCCATGGTTTTCCCCACCCTCCGAAATATTCCTATTTGATGTCCTCCCACAGAGACACATCTTCACCCTTCCCTGGAAACTATTTTTAAATTGCCTGGAAGCTGCTTACTCCCCATTCACCAGGAAGCCTATACTGAACCTACATTACAATCAGGAACAAACATCCCCATTTACGGAAAATTAAAACGCCGCACAATGTTCTAACTTTCCCTGCTTTTCACAGGAGGCCGGACTTGGCTTCTATCACCAAAACTTGGGAGTCGCTTCCATTTGTTGGCACAGCTGCAATTCTTAATCCAGCAAGTTGATGTTTCTCTTTGTTGAAAACGGAAGATTTTTTTAATTTTTTTTTAAAAGGTCATCACAGCTAAACTATGCTTTCACCTTTGGGCATGGCTGAAACGAAACGCTTCCTCCACCAGGGTTTGTTTCTGTCAGATTTCTCATCATCGCTGTCTTTCCGGTCTTCAATCTACGGGAAGAAATGAGGAAATGAGCTGGATTACAACAGGGAGGAGGATCCATTTTCCTCTGGACGGTCGTGAAAGCAGAGGAAGGGATGAAACAGATTAAATAGCCAAGAGATCCAGACACCGTGGCACAGAGTTAGAAAGCTGGCAAGCAAGCAGGGAGGGAAGGAGGGAAGAAGGAAGGTGAACAGGGAAGAAAAGAGAAAGGGGAAAGGAAAAGGAAAGGAAATGGAAAGAGAAAGGAAACGAAAGGAAATGAAAGGAAAGGGGGAAAGGCTCATTTTACAGCCAGTATGACATTTTCTGGTTCCTTCCTGCTCTGTCCTTGCAGGCGTTACTCCTTGATGCCGCCCCACTTCCAAATCCCACCAGAAAAACGGCAGGAAGACTCAAGGGACAGGCCCCTACCTCTCCCCTGCAGGAATCTTTGCTCGGAGACGACGACGAAGACTGCAGCCCGGCGATCGCCGCTCCCCCTCCGATGTTGCCCCCGGGCCCTGGAAGTTCCCGCTCCTCGTTTCCCGCTCGCCTGTTCCAGCCGGGATCGCTCATGGGCCTCCGTGCGGACGAGACGATGTCGGAGCTCCTGCTGCGCACCAGCCTTTCCGGGTAGGAGTAGCGCTGCTTGAAGGTCTCCGCGTCGAAGAGCAGGGCCATGTGGGAGGTGAAGTTGGGCAGGCGGGCGTCGCTGCCGCCCAGGCTGCCTTCCAAGATGGGGGGGTCCGGTGGCGGGTGAGACGGCCGGGCGTAGTGGACTTTGGGCCTGACCACTGCCGGGGAAATAAGCCACGGGTCACAAGGGAGCGCGGGGGGGGGGGGGGGGGGAGGGGCAGCTCGTGAGGGCTTCCCGCCTGGGAGGGAGAGGTTACCTTCATGAGACACCAAGGGGTCGAACATGGCGAGAAGGGAGTCTGCTGGGCAGGGAGGAGAGGTCAAGTGGCTGGCGCCTGAAATGCAAAGGAACAAATGGGAGAAACCATTGGCAACTTTCTTTCAGGGCTGAGAGCCGGCCGGCGACCCGATGCATGGAGTTTAACAGAATCAGAGAACTGGGAAGGGACCTTGGAGGTCTTCTAGTCTAACCCCCTGCTCAGGCAGGAGACTATTGCCATTCCAGACAAGGGACTGTCTAGTCTCTTCTTGAAAACCTCCAGGGATGGGGAAGGCCAAGGGAAACCATCAAAACCAGAAAGGAAGTGAACGGTGGAATCTTTCGGACGTTGCGATGCGACACCCGGAGAAATACGGCCTCCCTCACTTGATCCTCCAAGGAAAGATTGAAGGCAAACGAAGGTCCAGGCAGAAGAAGAACACCGGGGCTTCCAAATCTCTGAGGGACTCATTGAGACAAGAGTCAACAGCACTTTTTTTGTGCAGCTGTTGATAAAAATAGGATCGCCAAAACATGATCGTCAACATCCGATGAAAGATATGGCAGAAGTGGAAGTGGAAGTGAAAGAAGAAGGAGGAGAAGGAGAAGAAGAAGAAAAGTAGGAAGAGGAGGAGGAGGAGGAAGAGGAGGAGGAGAAAAAGAAAAGGAGGAAGAAGAGGAGGAGGAAGAGGAGGAAGAGAGGAAGAAGAGGAGCAGGAAGAAGGAGGAGGAGAAAATGAAGTAGTAGTGATGGAGCAGCCACAACTTCTGGAGATAAGCCATCCCACTGATTAATTATTCCCGCTGTCAGGAAATTTCTCCTTAGTTCTGGGTTGCTTCTTTCCTTGATGAGTTTCCATCCATTTGTTGGAAATGGCATAGGGTTTTCCTGCCTGAGCAGGGGGTTGGACTAGAAGACCTCTGAGGTCCCTCCCAGCTCCACTGTTATTCTGTTGTTTCCTTACCGTGCACCGTTTCGTCCATGTCGGGGCTGGTGACCGAATCTTTCCCACCGAAGTCGGAGCTGCACTCCGACCGGAGATCCTCTATCTTGTTCGGGATGTCTTCGGACGTCGCGCTAATCCCTTTAAGAGGACGACAAGAGGCTTCTCGTGAGCATGAAGGGCAAAACTGGAGCCTACCCTGCCAGTTTAGTCAACAGATCTTCTGGGGACGTGACGCCAATTCCCAGAATTCCCCTGAACCAGCCTAGCCACAGCTGGGGATTGTAAAAACGAATGGACACCCTCTAGGTCCATGGACTTCAACTCCCACAATTCCAAGGCACGCAGCCGAGGCGTAACGTAAGGCCTCGAAGTGCTTTTCTCAAAAGGCAACTAACTGGAGTTCCTTTTTTACTTGAAGAGGTGTCGCTCCTCATCCGAGGAGCTTCTTCGCTTCTGAAGAACTAAATAAGAACCGAAGAAGCATCTTCTAAAAGTCCAGTTGCCTTTTGGAAAAAACCCTTTCGGACAACCGTGAATAAAAGAGCAGGATCTCCATAGACCTCGAATGCAGGGACTTCGAATTCCCAACGCCAGCCTGGGTGCCGCTAAGGATTCCGGGAATTGAAACCTTCCGCAATTCTCTGTGGAACGGAGAGAAGGCAAATCCAGCCTTCTCACCTTAAAGTTAAGATACCTGGTTCAAAAAAAGCCCAGATATATTCCTGCTTCGCTGCTTCCTCTCAAACCGAAGCAATCTGACCCCGTGCTAAGGCAACCTTCCCTTTCCCTCACCTGAGACCACACTGAGGCCAGGTGTGCTGGGCCGGGAACTGACTTCCCTCACATCGGTATCGTCGGAGGCGCTTCCTACCCCCGAGCAGCTCTCCAATTCTTGCAGCCTTTCTTCCTGCTTCAGGTCTGGAGCCTCTAGAGAGGAGAGGGAAGAATCAGATTCACAACACCTGACATCCTCACGGTGCCTTGTTCAATGACCGGCCAAAGTCACAACAGTGCTGGCGGGGGAGGGGGGGGAGAGAAAGGGACTCACAACAGTCCTCGCACTTACACGCCGCGACAGCATCCCCGGTGAACAAAATCTGGATGGATGGCCTTTCCTTCTCTTTTTTGCATAGCCACTTTGACACACACACACACACACACACACACACACTTTTAAGATGGCAACAGATGCCAAAAATAAAGAGAAGGGACTGTTTACAGGTTACGGAAGGTGGAGAAAGGAGAGCCGTCGGCTCCTCGGGGGGCCCCTTTCAACCCCATTTCTCCGCCACTTGGAACGCTAGGATTCTTCACCTGAGTCACTTGGCAGGACCTCCACGCTCCACGCTTCGCTGGTGGTTTCTGAGATGGTGGAGCCTGTGCAGGGGTCAAACAGCACCGAGCTGGAACCGGGCAGACACAGCAGGTTGCCCAAGACGTTTTCGGCGGCGGCCCCTGGAGGGGACAGAAGTCGTCGTGAACAGGTCGCAAGGAGACACGTGTGTGTGTGTGTGTGTGTGTGTGTGTGTGTGTAGAGGGGGGTAGTAATAGGTAAGTAGGTAGGTAGATATACAGATGACACAGATATAGATAGAAAATAAATGACACAGAAGAATAGATTATGGATGGATGGATAGATGGATGGATGGATAGACAGACAGACACAGTCGGTAGAGATAGATAGATGATAGATAGATAGACAGACAGACAGACAGACAACACAGGATAGATTAATTATTGATAGATTGATGATGGATGGATGGACGGAAAGACAGATTGCAGATGGATGGATGACACAAAAGAATAGATTGATGATATATGATAGATAGATAGATAGATAGATAGATAGATAGATAGATAGATAGAT